AGGAAAAGGAGGTGGCGACCCTGGAAGAAGCAAGACCTTTCCCTGTAGAAGTGGAGAGAAATAGCAACTCCCCTGAGCCTGGAGGAGGAAGAGGCGGCTACCAAGAATGATGCTGAGGCCCCAGGTGTTGCAGACCCAGGGTAAGGTATTTTTATAATTATTAATGAGACAGCCAGCCAGGAATGGGATAAAACAGAGAAAAACAGGGGGGCAGCAGTTCCAATGACTGAAGGACCTCAAGCTACACCTCTCTGTGTAGGGAAAATCACAAGGGAGTAGTAAACAAAAACAAAGGATCATGGGGAAGTCTTTTGTAAATAAGGCCAACTTCTTCTCTATTATTTGTTGTTATGTGCCATCAGTCACTTGAGACTCATAGCTACCCCTATGTAAGAGAGCCCTAAATGCTGTTCTAACCTGTGTCACCCTCACTGTCTCCAACACACTCATTCCCACCACTCCACTCACAGAATCGATCCATCTCATTGAGGGTCTTCCTCTCCTGCGCCGTCCCTCCACTCTCCCAAACATGATGTCCCTCTCCAAGGACCAGTCCCTCCTTGCAACATGCCCAAAGTATGTTCAGACAAAGCTTTAGAATCCTTGAGGAGCATTCCAGCTTCACCCTCTCCAGGACAAACCCGTTTGTTCTCCTAGCAGTCCATGGTATATTCAACACTCCTCCAGCACCACAGCTCAAAGGCATCAATTTTCTATCATCCCTAGTCACTGTCCAACTCTCTGATGCATAGCATGTAATTGTGAAGACGCACCTTAGTCTCCAGCCTGATGTCCTTGCTCTTCAGTACTCTCTATTGTTTACCTTAGGCTTATCTTAGGAGGGATTCAGGTAATAAAAACTAAGAATTAGTAGACTCTTAAGGAATGCTTTAGTGTCACAGGGTGAATTCTAGCTTGTACTATGCCTCCCTCAAATCCTGATATAACACCCAAGCATCAGAGATCACGAAACTGTAGCCAACCAATGTTTCAAGAGGAGCTCCTCCTCCGTTCCTGCCGCTATCTGGGTGCTACTAGGGTAACCAGCCATGGCTTGCAAACTGGGAATTCCCTTCTCACCAATCCCATTCTCCTATTCACTCCCCCCTTCACGTATGGCCCCAGGAGATTTATTTGGACGGGGCAGACCACTTTGCCCCCATCTCCATTTCCCACACTCCAATGATGAGTCAGGCCTATGACCTTTACTCCCTGAGAGAAGGCCATATTCCCTGCCTTTCTAGAGCTGTTTCCCAGGATTTGGCCTGGACCAGCTTTACCACCTCTTGACACCTTTTTGTCTTTCTCACCCATAGGCATTCTGAAATTATGGGTTGTGATCAGGAGGGCTGGAGAATAAATAACAGGGTGGACTTGTGGGGGGCCTGGCTAGGGCAACCATCCATTTATTGTAGGGGTGTGGAGGGCAGGAGAGTGGCATCTCCTGAGCTGCTGTCTCCCATACCCATTTCCCAGCTAAACAGATTCAAGGAAAGTGGTACAGCATATTGAGGACAGGCTCCCTTCTAATGGAAATGCTCATTTTTCCTGTTGCTGACCTCGGAGAGTAGTAGTTTATCATCAAAAGATTTGGGGGCACTCAAGTTGCTTGGGTCAAGAACCGAGATCAGAGAAAAGGATTATCTTGAGAAGAATGAAGCTCCCCTATTCCCTCTACCCATAAGAACTCAAGGCCAGCCTAGAGTCATATAAATTATCCAGATACTTTTTTTAAAAAAGGACACATTTTTTTAGGAAACATTTTTAACAAAAAACAAAACAAAAAAAAAAGGTGCTCATGCAAAACCTATTCCTGGAGCAGGGAAACACTGCATTGGTTTAAAATTAAAAAGAGAGTGCATCAGGTTTCCATTCTCTCTCCATATCTATTCAATCTGTACACTAAGCAAATTATTCAAGAAGCTGGACTCTGAAGAGGAATGTGGCACCAGGATCAGAGACACTCATAACCTGTGTTATGCAAATGACACAACCTTGCTTGCTGAAAGTAAAAAGGACTTGAAGCACATGTCAAGAAAACAGATTCTCACCAATCTCCTGACATGCAACATCATGGTGGATGGAGAAGAGATTAATAAAATTGTCAACAACTTTCTTAACTTGGATCCACAATTGCCACCCTCAGTATGAGCAGTCAGAAAATCCCGAGTCATACTGCACTGGGAAAGACTGAAGTTAGGGACCTGTCCAAATTATTGAGGAGTAATGATGTCAGTTTGAGGACTAAGGTGTATCTGATTCAGACCATGGTTTTTCTGATCATTTGCTATGAAATGGAGAGCTAGACAAAATAGGGATAGCAGAATTGATGCCTTTGGCGGTAGAGAATAGCACTGAATATCCCATGGCCTGCCAAAAGAATAAATATCTTAGAGGGTGCAGCCAGAGCGCTGTTTGGAGGCAATGATAAGGAGACTTGAGGCTTCACCTCACATACTTTGGGCCTATTACTAGGAGAGGCTATTCCTTGGAGAGGGACATAATACTTGGAAGGGTGGAGTACTGGCAAAAGACCGACCCTCAATTAGGTGGACTGACACCATGATTGCCACAATGAGCTCAAGTGTGTCAGGAAATGTGAGGCTGGCACAGGATAGGACAGAGTTCAGATCTTTGGTTCATAGAGTTGCGACGGGTCCTACTCAACTCAAGACTCGAAGCTAATAAGCAGCTGTGTTAGCCCATCAGTACACTTGTGTATTCCCTAAGAAATGTGAATTAAAAACTACTCTTATCACTAACGTTTTGTACAAATTGTTCTGCCTAGAACACAGCCTCTTCTTTTGAAAATGTGTGACCCTGGAGGACATTAGGTTGAGTGAAATATCTCAGTCACAAAAGGACAGGTGCCACTATTGTAGAACTGGACTGACATCAGGGCTGGAGTGAGACTGAGAAAAATTGGATAAATTATATATACTGCATTGAAACAGATAAGAAAAGAGAACTGTGATAGGGTATTATGGTTATGACAAGAGTCCAGAATGAAGGTTGCATAGTGGAGGGTACTCAGGGTGGGGGTGGGGGAGCGGAAGTCTATACCAATGACATAATTTTTCTGTTCTTTCTCAAAATTAAGAGGGAACTGGGTAGAGGGGTGGGCAGGGAGAAAAATGCAACAATGAATATATGGAAATCCAAAAGCTCTGTAAACATTAAAATTTAAAAAAAATTTAAAAAACCAAGCAAACAACAAAAAACCCCACAACTCAGGTAAAAGCTGGGGTAGAGGGTCCTGGAAGCCTCAAGCTAGGTCAAGAAGGACAACTTTCAGAACTGGCTTTGACAAGCACTGTGGCATTTGGACAAGAACAAACTGGGAGGAGGGTAGAGAGAATAGTGCAACAATGAATGAATGGAAACCCA